AGCTATGGGGCTGCAGCCCCTGGAGTTCAGCGATTGCTACCTGGATAGCCCCTGGTTCAGGGAGAGGGTGAGAGCTCACGAGGCCGAGCTGGAGAAGACCAATAAGTTTATCAAGGAGTTGCTGAAGGATGGGAAGAACCTGATCGCCGCCACCAAGAGTGAGTGGAGAAGTACTACCATTTCTGTGGCAAATTGATTCACATGAAAATGATAGATTGCTTAAAGCCTCATGAAGATTTGATTGCATACAGAAGGTAAACCATTAAAAAGACATTTTCAAATCATCACATGGCTCCACAACTTGGTTGCGGCGCCGGCAGCTTTGCCCCTGGAGCCGGCGGAGATTTTGCGGCACAGAGCTCTGCGCTGGCTTTGTCCAGTCCCTCCTTAGCCGCTCTGCAGACACAGCGGGTCTCGAGCCCTTCGCTGCGGAGGGGGCTAAGGGATAGGGACAGCAGGATAAGGGATAGAGGAGGCAGCAGCGCCGGTAACTCCTCCCGCAGCGCCTGTTGCATCTGCCCGGTCTGCGCTCCCGGCGGTGCCGGGCTCGGGGTGAGCTGAGCTGCGGCGTGAAATCCGCTCAGAGAACTCGGTTTCATGTGTTAACCGGAGAGTCTGTGTGAGCCTCTGCCCATAGCACAATGAGGGGAGGCTAAGGGAGTTGGGATTGTTTAGCCTGGAGAAGAGGAGGCTCAGGGGAGACCTTATCACACTCACCTTAACAGGGTCTGAATTCAGGTCTGTGTGGCTCCTCACACATTGCTAAAGAGTGTTGTCTTTACATAGTAGAGATAATTTTTCCGTGTCTTGAGTTGTTTTGCCGAATTGTAGGGATTTGCTGAAGTGTGTTGCATTGCTGCTATCAGGAGGGACATTGAGGTGCTGGAGCAGGTCCAGAGAAGAGCAACGAGGCTGGTGAAGGGACTGGAGCACAAGTGCCATGAGGAGAGGCTGAGGGAGCTGGGGGTGTTCAGCCTGGAGAAGAGGAGGCTCAGGGGAGACCTTATCACCCTCTGCAACTCCCTGACAGGAGGTTGGAGTCAGGTGGGGGTTGGTCTCTTCTCCCAGGCAACCAGCAGCAGGACAAGAGGGCACAGACTCAAGCTCTGCCAGGGGAGGGTTAGGTTGGAGATGAGGAAGAGATCTTTTAGGGAGAGAGTGCTCAGGCATTGGAATGTGCTGCCCAAGGAGGTGGTGGATTCCCCATCCCTGGAGGTTTTCAAGCTGAGACTGGATGTGGCACTTAGTGCCATGGTCTAGTGACCACGGTAGGGTTGGACTTGATGATCTTGGAGGTCTTTTCCAACCTGGTTGATTCTGTGATTCTGTGAATTGCATATCTGAGCATAACCGTGTTGTTTATATGTGCATTTGTAGTCTGTGAAGAGGCTGCTGAAAATTCCCTTTGTCAAAAGCTTAAGTATGTTCAGGAGTTACCAGACTTACAGTTCTAGTTACCAGTTCTATATCTTTGGCTTCTTAAAATGTGATAGTGTTTTGTTAACTTTGAGTTTTACTCTTTGGATATATATAGTGTGTATATATATATATGTTTAACTCTGCTGTGCTTTATGTAGGAATAATGTTATTTTTCTCGAACGACCATGTTCATGCATGTTCTTAATGTGGTATTGTCCTAATATGATATTTTCCATTCAACTAAAGATATAGTAGTGTAGCCCCAAAAATATCTAGAAGGATTATTGGCTATACCGAATATTAAAACACTCATACTATATGTTATTAATAGGAATACATATGTAATACATATATAACAGTAATATATATACTACAATAATTTGACACTGTGTCCTCAAACAAGCATCTTTGGTATCATGGCAAACTTCTGAAGGCTGTCAAGATATTTCCATTATAGTAAACTGGTGGGGATTTGGCTAATAGTTTAAGCAGTGTGAAGTTGGTGAAGCTTTTATAAACTGAATTAATTCATTCTGTGCAAATAAAGAAACATCTTTTCTAGTTTATTTCTGTTTGACATGCAGGACGTAGAAAGGGATGTAGTAAATTTCACTTGTTTGTTACTGTTATTGTTTGGCCAAGTTTATATTCAGTTATTGCGAATGACTATCTTAGAGGCTTATTTGTAATCTGTGATTTGAAGTGTCAGGATAAATCATCTTAACTTGGAGTGTAAAGCAAAAAAGTGATCCTAAACTTGGATAAGAACAGTAGAGGGAAATCATTCCACTTCTCTTCCTCTAGCATTTTAGTAAATGTATTTACTAAATTTAGTAAACAGTATTTTGGCACTGCTCCAAACCTTCAGTTTCTTGTGCTCTGATGTATACAGAACCTAATTTGAAAGTGTGGAGCTGACAGTAGTGAGGAAATCCCTAACCATATGAGCCTCCTATCCACAACAGAAACTCGTGCTGATAATTTTGGTTTGGTGTGGAGTGTTAGATGCACTTTGCTGTGTGTGGTGGGAGCCAAGGGAATCAATGTGCCAACCAGATCCACCTGGCCTGGAAGTGCTTGATGAAATACTTAGGATTAGCCCATGAGAAGCATTTAGAGAAGGAATCTGAGGTCCTGCCCAGTGTTCAAGCTTAAGCAATGCCTTCCTTTCTGAGAGCACAGTCAGAAATTTTATTCTTGAGTTTAGTTGCCATACCTTGTTCTAGCAAAGATCTGTGCATCAGCATCCTTGTTTGAGAAGTAGAAACAGAGGTTAGACCCTTCCTTACCCATTTCAAGTTTCTGCAGTTGTCTCACTTCTTTAAGGTGTCCTGAGTGGCAGGGTTGAAGCTGAGTCCCCTTCCTCTAGTGCTGGTGAAGCAGTGCCACTGTTCAACAGACATTAAAAGCCAAATTGAACCAGAGGAAACACAAGAAGTTAAAACCCTCTAAACTCCCAGTGGTTAGGGTATTGGTCCGCTGTGTGTTTTCAGAAGAAAACATTGGCATCTAAATTCTTTGAGGAACCTGATTCATTCACTGTCAGGAAACCAAAGGGGATTAGTACTTGTTCCAAAAACCAAGCCTGAGAAGTGGCCTAGACACAGAGCTTGCTATTCACTTCTGTCAAAACTGCATTTTCTGCATGAAGACAGATTGACTGCAATTCAGAGAATGCAGTAATAAAGCAGGGTGCAGCGAGCTTAGATGACTGCCTCTCAGACAACAGTTGATTGCAACCTTTAGAGAATGGTTTGAGTCTTTTGAACAAAAGAAGTCTTCTTAACAGCTTCAATATTTCTCTATTTCTAGAACCAGGTAAATTACGAGCTTTGCATCTGGCTTTATTGAAATGTGAGCATAATAAACTTCTGTGAAAGGTCTGTAAAATATAAAATGTAGTAGGAACTCTGTTGTTCAATTTGTGGGAAATGGACTGCAGCAGAGACTGCCTGCATTTCCCTCCTGTAGCCCTTGCCTTATTTCCCTTGTAAAGCAGTGGCTTACAACAAACCTTGTGGGGATTCTTAAGGTGTGAATAACTGATAACAGTTGAATAGATCCCACTTCCTGCTTGACAGACAGCCCTGTGAGTGGCTTTGATGCTGCTGCACTGGGTTATATCTTGATAGATGGAAGCAGATTGTGCTGCCACTCCCTCTGTTTCACAGGAATCATCAGTGTCTCTGGGGACAAAACAGTAACACGATGTGGATCCTCTCACTGACTCCTTTCCATTTGTCTCTTCAGTTGTATGGGATTGTATTTTTACCTATCACCGATCAACTGATTTTTTGTTAGTACAGGACCATATAGCTTAAAAAACCCCAAGAGAGACTATGAGAAAAAGCAGGATCTTCTGCATTCTCAAATTGTAGATTTTCCAGAGTGAAGCATTCTGCAAGTGTATCTTTACACTTGAAAGTTTCAGTAGTTTCAAGAATGTGATAGAAAGATAAACAAGACTGACTCAAAGCTGTCTGTTTCCTGTGTAATGGTTTGACTCACTGAGTTGTCTACTTCAAGCTAAGTACTGGAAGAATGAATAAACAATAGGTGGCTCTTTCTTTTCTTATGGCAGTTAAATATGTTTAAAAGGAGTATAGAGAGACTTTTTTTTTCCACAGTTAGTGATCAGTAAATACAAAGGATATACACATATGCTTTTAAAAATAGAAATGCAATATTTCTCAGGGATTCCAGCTCAGTCAGGATCAAAATCGTTCATGAATAACTTCAGGAAGACCTAAGACCTCAGGGAGGAGCAGGAAGAGTCAGCAGGGGCATAGGTCTTGGTCCTGGGCATCTCACAGGGGTTTTGCAAAGGACACTTGTGAGTGCATGCTCCCTATTCCATGTGCCTGAAAACAGTCTCCCCATTCTTGGATTTAGGCTCAAATCAGAGCAGAATTCTGTTTGGGTCAATCGCAGTGACTTTGTAACAGGCTGGTGAAGAGAGATGGATGGAGAAGCTGATAAAACAGAAAAGCTGAGTGCCCCAGGAGACTTCCAAGAGCTGGTCTGTAGGCAATGCTCTTTTGAGAGAAGCCTGGCCAAAGTTTGATAGGGAAGGTGCCTCACATAGGCCTCTCAACCCTAATGCATCATAAAGCCTTTCATCAAGTCAGGATCAGCTACTGCCATGTGGGCACCACAGTACGCAAACACTCATTTCACACCTGCTCCAGTGCAGAGCTGACACCTTCCCCCACTGGCATCCTGTGGAACTTGCCACCAGTGGCCCCACTGTGTGGTTTTCACTGGGGTAGGCCTGGCCCTCCCATCTCTGCTGCCTCTCTTTCAGCTGGCAGCAGGGTAATTCCTCCTGTTCCTGAAGATTTTGGGTTGTGAACTCGGCTCTGTAGATCTTAGCCAATGCATTTGGTGCATCCTGCCTGCCTAGTGCTGAGCTCTGCAGGCAGCTCAGTGTGCTCAGGCTCCTGGTGACTATTTTGTATTGCTATTTTTGATGTATGTTTTTCACAAAAGAGTTACTTCTTGCACCCTTCCAGAGAGAATACAAAACTAGAGCCAAGTTTATTCATTTGTAGAAAGAGTTTGGTGGACTACTGAGTTACTGGTACTTGATACTGGAGAATGCTGGTTTACTCCAGGGAGTATTTCTGCATTTGTGGGGAAAAAAGGGTGAATAGTTCTTTTCCTTTCTTCTGAGGTGTTTCTAGTCATTGGCCATTGACAGGTTTGTCATCAAGAAGGAAAGCAGACAGGAAATCTTGTG